ATGAGGGATGAGCCAGCTTGTGGCACCATTTCTTTAATCACGAGAGAGATTGGCTTGCTGAAGGGATGTAGAGGATGAAATTTATCGTTGGGCCTTTGCGGATACTGGGGCTTAGAGGCCATTCCGCAGCATTGATGAATGAGCCTAGCTCTTCTTTCTTCAATGTCCAGGCGTTCTGAGATTCATCGAATTCTGGTTGCGCCGCAGTTGGGGCGAAGTGTGCATACACCTGCACCTGTGTGTCGATGGAGAAGTTGCTAATGGGCGAAAATGTTCCTAGTAGTGGTAGAAGGTATTCTTGTAACGCTGATTCGATGTCCCATGAGGATGGCAGTGGTCCTGGCGTGAAGAGCGAGAAGCTTAAATGGTAGGTTTCAGCATATTTAAAAGAACGCGTGGTGCGACGAGCAATTGACTCCGCTAATTGGGGGGCCACGGATTTTATAGCTGCCATTCCTTGCTCTCTATTGTTCACAGAAGGGGCCTGACCTCCTGGAATCGAGGGTTGAGGCGACGGACCAAACGTGTTGCTGCTTGACAGGATATATGCAATTGTCGCTTTCTCCTCATTGAACAGTTTCTGAACCTCTGCGGCAATAAACGTAGCGAGAAGTGAATTGAGTGTCGAAGTAGATGGTGCTTGATTGACTGGATAAAATATTTCCAGTTGTTCAGAATAAGGATGTAGTTCTGAGCTGGGTACAACTACACCCTCCCGTGGGAGCAACCTGACATTCAGCGCCGCATTTTTTTTCTCCTCAACGTCTGATTCTGCTGTTGGAATAACCTGCGGTGTCTCTCCTGAGCTCTGTGACGTTTCTACCAAGCGAAGCCTGAGGTGATGTGCGGAGAAATCATTCAGATCGTCGAGAGCATGTTGGGTGGTGCGAATAAGGTGTTCAGCATCTGGGGTGTTCATTGACGGAGCATGTACGAGAATCTGTAAGGGGAAGACCGGTCGACATGCCTATTTTGTAAGAGGCATCAGACTCGTATTCTAAACGCCGCTACATATATGTATATCGCTGTCCCTTAAAAGACGTGCGCGCTTGAAGCCTACCTTGCCATCTGCCCAATCCTTCATCACATCCAACGGAAGTCTCGCCCTGTAGATGGACGTAGTTCTCCACCACATGGGAAGGCCCAGAAATATTATAATGGCCCAAAATGCAGATATCACCAGTGTTCTCGTCCTAATATCCTCCGGCTTCTCGGGCGGGAGGGTCCGCTTCGCGCTGATCTTCATGGCTGGTTGATCCGTCATTCGCGTAGCGTTTGTTTTTGCGTCGGTAGAGGAGGCCTCCATCTTGCCTCCCTTTTTATTCCGCATTGTCAGGTCATGGTCCACGAGAATCGGGCGCGGAGCTGGCCGTGTTGAATTTGGCGTGTTGAAGAAGATGCGGAGTTGTGAAGGAGAAGCGGCTTGAAGCTTGGTCCTCTGTGATTGGGCGAGCCAGCATCGATGAACACCACAAATCGAGAAAGCAAATATTAACCAACCATGAACTGAATAACTAACTAACTAACTACAGTAATTACTCTGAATATTAGCTTCGCACGCGCTAGACTAGAGAGCAGATATAAAACGCATTGCGCGCAGATTGCTTTAATACGGGGCCAGCGAGTAGAAGCATTGTAGGCTCCATGTTCGAAAGAGCAATGATATAAAAGAGCCATACAGATAGCGAGTTTACGATAAACGAGTTAATATTTCCTGCACTAGATATCTCGACATTGGAGCGGGTATCACATCATTCAGAATATGCCAAAAACGCCTGTACCTTTATCAAGAGAAGCAAAATAACCAACCGGTCCGATTACACCAGAAATGCTAGATGAGGATACAAGATAAGCAAGCACAAGACTCAGTATTCCTTTTCGAAAATCTTTTGAATCGGTTTTGCAGCCTGTTAAAGGAAGGAATGGTTAGCTTAATCTCATCATGGATATGAAGATTGACGGAAGATAAAATCCCGCCTCATCACTATTTCCAGAAAATATTGGAAAAAGGGATCTGCCCGGTGAATATGGAATAACTCACGTCAATAAACCTCTCAAGGTCCTGGTCCAGGTTAGCCAAGTCATCTTTCCGCTTTTTGTTTTCTGCAATCAAGGCCTGCTTTCGCTTCAGAAGCTCTTGTCGGGCCTGCTCTAGTTTCTCGCGTTCTGCATGTTCGTGGTTTATGCGTGCAATCATGAGTTGGTTGGGATCGGCTTCTGCCAGCTCCGGATGAATAACTAGGAATTCCTCAACGGGTATTAAGGGAAGAGAGAGGTATTTGTGGCTGTTAATTGGGTATTAGTTAGAGTGGGAAGAGTTGCAAAAGAGATTCCGGGAAAAAAAAAAGGTGAAGCATGA